AAACCTGAATCTAAACCACCTGAGTATGCTTCCATTAGTTCAATATAAAAAAAGAGACCCAGGGGCCACATAGCTTGCCTGGGCAACTAGCTAGGTAAAAGCACAAATCAGCTCAGTAATAAAAATCTAAAATTTATTTATATAAATGTAAGTTCACTGGAGGAGGGGGTGGGTTATTTGAACAAACTTAAATATGCAATTCCTAAGAATGCTTTTGAATTAATATGACACATTATGGCGTTGCTGTTTTTAAGTTGAAAATGAATATTTTTATTGATACAGCCATAGCTTCCTTTTTCATGATCAACTTAAATGGCCCCTCTATTTTCCTGATTGATCATCATTTGAAAAAAATTCTACGTTATCTTTTTTATGCTTTTAAATTAAAAAATCAATCATGGCGCTGTGAAGATTTTTTTTTATTGATTTTTACCATGTTTTCCTAGGTAAAACCTTGATCACCAATTGTGGCCCACTCTACCCCCGGGGTCATGATTTGAACAAACTTGAATCTACACTGCCAGAGGATGCTTCCATATAACTTTAACCAAGCACAGCTTTGCTGTTCTAAAGAAAAAGAATTTTAAAGATTTTTTTCTTATGTAATACTACTTTCATCACCCAAAATGGCCCCATCCTTGCAGGGGTCATGATTTAAACAAGCTTGAATCTACATTACCAGAGAGGAGTTCCATATTACGATGACCAATCATGGCTTTGTTGTTCTTGAGAAAAAGATTTTTAAAGATTATTTTTCCCATGTATTCCTATGTTGAACTGTTAAAATACCCAACTGCCCACTTTTCCCGATCATGATTTGAACAAATTTGAATCTTCATTAACAGAGAATGCTTTTACATGAGTTTCATCTTTTCTGGCCCACTGGTTCTTGAGACGAAGATTTTTAATCATTTTCCACATGTATTCCTAAGTTAAACTCTGATCCCCAACTGCTCCTACGTCCGGGGATCATGACTTGAACAAATTTGATTCTTCACTACAATAGGATGCTTCTACGTGAGTTTAATTTTTTCTGACCAACAGTTACTGGTTCTTGAGAAGAAGATTTTTAAAGATTTTTTATATGTATTACTTTGTTTCACTTTGATCACCCATTGTGGCCCCACTCTATCCCCGGGGATGGTGTTTTGAACAAACTTGAATTTAAACTACATGAGAATGCTTCCACATGAGTTGCCTCTTTCCTGGCCAACTGGTTCTTGAGAAGATGATTTTTAAGAGATAAAGTTAATTTATCAAAAATTCATAATTATCTCCTCTTGGAATATAACGTGGCCCTTCATGTAAACAAACATGAATCCCCTTCATCCAAGGATACTTTGTGGCAAGTTTGATTGAAATTTGCCCAGTTGTTTGGGGGAAAAAGATGAAAATGTGAAAAGTTTACAACAACGACGCCAACGATAACGACGACAGACAACGGAAAAAATTTTGACCAGAAAAGCTCAATTGAGATTTGGCTCAGGTGAGCTAAAAACAATGGTAGAAGAGTAGAAAAAACTACATTTGTCAATTACAAGTGAAATATGTAAATGAGGCGCATTATTTCCACAAAAAAGTTCGCCGTGCCCGATTTAAATTTAAACTTGATAAAATGTGTTTTAATTGTTGTTGGAACGCTTCAAAGGTGCATAGACACAGATTTGAAGTTAATAAATGTATTAAATATCTAATGTCATTTAAAAGTTATTAAAACTTCAAATTTTTGGACCGATTTGATTGACACATCCTTGCACTTTCACAAATTTTGATTTTATTCTTTATACTTTGGAAAGGTGGCAATCTTGTTGTGTATAAAAAAAAAATATTAAAACTATAATCAAGAAAATTCAGAGTAGAAATGTTCGAAAGCAAAACATACACACAGTATACCGTATAATTGGAAATTTTAGTGAGACACAAATTAAGCGATTTCTACCTAAAATCTGGTATTCTATTTTTAGCGAAAAGTTATTTTAGAGATTTTAATATGTTAACTAAAGAAGCTATTACTATTACAAATAATACGCAATTAATTTTTAGCAATAATCAATTTTAGCGATGTAAGCATCCTCACTTATAATGCCAAAATTAAATCCTCGCTAAAATATTCTACTTATACGAAATTGTCAGTCTGCGCACTTGGGTGAGCAATCTTTAACAGCTGAACACACCGGTGAATCGTAAACATAAACAATAACAAAGCTCGTGTCCTGTTTACAAAAACTGTGTACGTTTTACGGGTACGTTCATTTTACTAAACTCTGTATTAACACTAAGCGCGGAATGACGATACTTGTGAAGGGGTTTTGCTTTCGAACATTTCTACTCTGAGTATAATTATTTTTTTGGATTCAAGTTTTATTATTATTCATTAAGTCACATTCCAATAAGTTTGCCACTTTTTTTGTATTAAGAATAAAATTAATTTTTGTGAGAGTGCAAAGATGTGTCAATCAAACCCATCTAAAAATTTGAAGTTACAATAACTTTTAGATGAAATAAGATGTTTAATATATTTTTTAATAAAAATACTATTAAAGTATATACAGCTGTAAGTCGTAATATTATACAGAAAATATTGACTTCAAATCTGGGTCCATGGACCTTTAAGTATATTTTACTAAACAACTATTTCATTAAAACTAAAGTTTTCTTTTGTTTTATTTTACATTTTAAACAACTTATGATATGCATGGGAAGTCGATGTTTTAAAGGGGATTAATCACAAAATGTAAGATATATCATTTTAATTTAATTTTTCTCTTAAGCTTGTTTTTGTCGAAATTTAGCACCGCAAAAGGACAGTACCACAGAACCAGGCAAAAATATAGGATACTGATCGAAGTATTGTTCATCCTTAAAAAGTACATTGATGCCATTATGGTCAAGATCTAGTAAATCACTTTAGACTGATTTTTCGTGCTAGATCCATTATAACGTCATAATCAATTTCAACTTTCTTTTTCCCGTACTTTATGGCTTTAGCAGAATTATGTAAAAAAAAAAAGGTATTTTCATGGCATTCAATTTGAAATGATATGAAAAGTAATCCGGATACCTATATTTATTTTGACATTATTTTAAAGAAGAGGCCATGAACATACATATTACCGTTTTCTGAGAGACTGTAGGCAATCTGGATACATTTCCTTTGTCGAATATGAAAAAACTACCATATTCATTATTGGTTTTCTTAATTTTTCATTGAAAATGACTGTTTAAAAAATGGTTTTTTATCTTGTTTACTTACAATTTAAGACCCGAAACACCTTATTTGACCAAGTTATTAAACATCATTAAAGGAATTTATTTATCAAATTTGATAAATTTAATTGTAGGCATCTTTGATTTACTAGATCTTGACCTTAATGAGAATTTTTTTCATACGAGATTTGACCCAAAAGTAATGTCACAGTGTCCATATCTTTCATACTTGGCGTCATATTATCAAATACATAATACCAAAAGATGCACAAATACAAATCTAATTTACATTGAAATTTTCATTTGATAATATTTATTTGCGTTTATTTTATAGATGATTAAAACAAAGAGCATAGGGGGTATCGCCGCGTCACAACTGAACGTCACGTTTTAAAGCGTAATTTTTTTCTTAGAATGAAAAAGACAAACAAATTAAAAAAATTCTAAAAAGCACCTAATCTCCTATTTTTCTTAAAAGACACAATTCATGTCATTTTCTAGTCTATAATTGAAAATATTAATGACGGCATTGGCATTTGTGATCATAAACATCGTTGTTTTACTCTCTTGGGTTTAACAAAGGGATTGTCGAAATAAAAAAAAAACAGTTCGACGAGTTGCAATGCAGTTTTGCTTCAAAAATATTGGAATCATCACTAGCGACAGTTATGAACGTTAAATAATCAGACTCACAGAATAAAGAATGTAAATATATAAAAGACTTCTTTATAGATAGTCTCAGCTATTTTGGGCGGGTCTTGGATCATTGAATGGTCAGCAGAGGACAAGAAAACCGAAAAATAGGAGATCGAGGCAAACGTTCAATGGTGTCGTGTCTGACGTTTTCAAAAAAGACAGGCAGATAGTGTGACATGTGAATTTTCAAGTTTGTTTTATGTTACTGTTTAAAAGAATTTGTCAGTGGGCTAAATTATGGAAAGAGAGAGTGTATTATGGTACCAATAATTCTTAAAGAAAGTGAAATTTGTGAAAGTGCATGTGAATTACAAATATTTTTTTAAACGAAGCGAAGGGGAAACGCTCAAAAACATGACGGAGCGTATCCGTCATATGACGTTATATTTAGATGCGGTGACCACCATACATTGTTTAAAATCCGATATCTTGGAAAGTATTCATCATATTTCTTTGAATTTTTTAGGTCTGATTTGAAATAAATAAAGCTTCCATCATTTGTAATTTTGTTGTTGTACATCCACTAGTAGCAATTTTATTGAAGTTGTGACATTACTTTTTGATCAACCCTAGTATTTACGTTCTGAAACTAAGACATTTTGCGTTTGGACATATCTCTCATAACAATTAAAAAATGCGAGAAATCTCGCGCTTCGGAGTCATGATAATGTATAGAAAATAAAAGTTAATAAGAGCTGTACTGTCTCCGTTATTAGGAAAGGCACACAAAAGGCTGCTTTAAAAAGAAAGTGAACAAAAATGTCACGGCTGTAATTGGCAAAAACCATAAAAAATGTTTGGATACTGTCAAAATCTATCAGCCAAGAGTATATACATGTACATGTATCAAAGTTCTACCAATTATGTGTAAGTCATTTATTAGTTAGTGAAAAATTAAGATAATCACTTTTAAAATATATTTTAATATCTCGTTACAAAAATTTGCATTGTATCAATGCAACATTTATTTGCGTTAAAAACGTTTGTTTCAAATATGCGCGGATCCGTATATTATGCAAAGGGTCTATTTGTTGTAAAATGCAGGGAAATTCCTTTTATTTTTTACAAATATATCCTGTAAATTAAAAAAAACCTACCTTTATTATAACACCATCTCCTTTTCTTCATTATTACAAAAAAAATAGTCAGAATACTTATGACCAACGCAATGGACACTCCGAGGAATAGTGGGAAACTAAAATGTCAAAAATTATTAATAAACTAAAAAAAAAAACAAACTTTAAAAAACATTTTCAAAATACTTATAAAATCAATGCATTTTTTCTTATAAGGAAAACAGTTAAAGTAGCAGGAAAAAGTAATTTGACAAACAATAAAAATTAATATATTTGTATGTCTTCACAATAGTAAGATAGCATACATTTTTAAAATCATTGAACGCATAGCTTACAATATCGTTTCTGTATCAATCTTTATGATCTTTGTCGTATTATTATTTCTTTCAGTACCAATCTTTATGATCTTTGTCGTATTATTATTTCTTTCAGTCACATCATACAACGGAAGCAGTTTGTTGGCGTATTTCAATTGATAGCAATCTTGATCTGAAGCAAAAAAGACAAATCAAAGAAGCATCATAATTAATATTTAACGGTTAAACAATAGCAACCATGCTTTAATTGAATATTCATATGTAATAAAGCAGGTCATGTTTATTTATGTAGAGCAATTGATAAATAATAGCTTACATTTATAGGCATCAGTTGATATATACTGAAAGGAAAAAGAAACGCAGGGTAAACTTTTGAGGTGAATTAAATTTGTTTTTCTTAAAATAATTTTCAGTTTTCCTATCTACCTTTGAAAATCATCTTTCAAAAAGATAAAACTAAGTTCTCATATGATTTTGACTAATTATTCATGAGTTATTGAAGCTCAAATGACGATACCCCCCAAAAGTGAAAATCGAAAACTCTCATTATCTTCAATGTCTTTCTCGTGCATTTGTCAGAGTCTTGTTTCTCCTTTGCATGGAATTTCATCAGAGTGTTTATCTTTCAAACCCTGGCTATATTTAGCATGGGTAACCACGCAAAAAATAAGTCGAACGGCGCGCGCATGCGCCAGTGAGAGGAATACAACCGTAAGTTGACTGGCTCAAAAAACCAAATTGCGGAACTGTTTTCTTTCAAATTTCGTATGAATGTAATGATTATAATCGTCTACTCTATAAATGGCTGTTTTTGTGGTAGTAAGGTGGCGATTTAAGAGATGGCAGGACGAATAACCCGCTCGTAACATGGCTCTGTTTGGCGTTATCGTCATCGTCACGGTTGATTAAAAACCATTCCAGACCCTCTCTGACAACGGGTTAAAAGTTTTATGGGGGAAAATTTACAAGAGACTGCTTAGTAAACCGTTGTTGCCTTTTTCCTTAAGTAGGCAATTTGAAATGAAGACCCCATTGAACTTCCGTAAAATGTGCCAAGATTGCAATAAATTCATAATGTGTCCTAATATTGAAAAACGATGTGCATACCTCATATGCATCAAATAATGCAACAAGATTTGTTGACAAACTCGTCGTTATCAAATTACACGTGTTTTGGGCTTGTTAGCGTTTCCCTACGTGACGTCATAAATTTTATGGTTGAGTAATTCTGAATACTGATTTTGATGCACAGTAACTAAATTTCCCTTCTGACCAATTTTCGTAATTCTCGGTCATGTGATCAAATTTTTATCGAAAATTATGCTACCCTGCGTTTCTTTTTCCTTTCAGTATATATCGAGTTGGACATGGCTTAGTAAAATTACTACACTTTAAGTCGTAGTTTTCTGTAACTTTTGCCAAAGTTATATCATAATCCACACAGAATCCTGTAAAATTTGAACAAGAAATTCATTTTTCAAGTCACAAAAATCACTAAAAGAGTTAAAGTATTTCTTCTTTTCCTTTTCCTTGTAATACTCGGTTAAATTCATATCTATACGTTTTTAAAAAAACGTTTTCATTCATTTTTTTTTCAAAGAAACGTTATCTATATTTTCAGTCAAAAGATTATTTATTTATTTACGTTCTATAGATATCTGAAAAGGTAAAAAAAAAAATCATTACCTAACAGAAACCTTGTAGGTGCGCAAACCTCTAAGGTTTCATTTCTCTGTTTATTCACTAAACAATGATACTGAAACTCTGCTTCCGTCGTGCAGTTTTGAATGCGAGCTATTACATCACATTGCTTTCTAGAGGCTGCTTCCATCCACTCCAATTGATTTTTTGGACAGGAAATTACATAGTTTATCGTTGGTATGGATATATTGCAGGGTTTTCCAGAAACTTGATTCTAGAAATTACAGATTAAGGACAGCAAATTATTTAAAATTGTAATAAAATGCAGAATACTAGTAATTCCAAAATATTTATTGTAGGTACATGAAAAAATAGTGAAAAAACATAGAAGAAACATAATTATTTTTTAAATATTAATTTTAAAAAATTAAAACACAAATGACTAGATTGTATATTATCATATCTTATTTTTTTGAAGTAGCTTTCTTTTATTCCACTTTGTTTTTATTAACATGAAAAAGGGTAGTTTATTAATGAAATGAATATCTATCCTTCTATTGAAACATATATACCTTTATATTGAAAAGTAGTAACAATGTTAGAATCCCTTTCATTTCGATGTCGCTTGTCTTTAAAATACTATACCGTCATTCTTTCCATACCATTTTGTTTTTCATTTTATTGAAATAGGAAATCTACCTTCAAAAATAAACATCAATAATCAAAAGTTTATTTACATGTCCATATCATTTGCATGCAATTAAAAAGGAAAAAAGGGTCAATGGACCTCAATTCTCATCAATTTCCCTTTAAATATTTAATTATCTCCAAAAGACGACTTTAAAATTAATATCCATTTCCACAGAACGCCATCACTGTCGTTTAGGATGAAACTATGAAATTATTATGTAAACTTTTCATTCATTTACGTGAAGTTTGCTAAATATCATTATACATTTATTGTATGATAGTAAGGGAAACATGAACATTTCGCCGCCCAATAGAAAATCATCTATCCTCCGAGTGGAGAAATCTTGAAGATCTCCCTAACTATCGTGCAAATAATTGTTCATTATAACAAATCAAGCAAAATTCAGTAAATCTTAAGAAAGATCATTTATTAAAATACAGTTTCGTGACTGTCACTACTTGATTGGCGTGACTGCCAATGAGATTCCTTTCGACTGGTGATTATTTGTTGTCACCTCAACAAAGAAATTTCTTTTAAAGTATATACCTGTATATTCATATTTATTTTGTTTGACCCTAATAAAAAGAATTATAAAACTAGGAGACTTATTGTTCAAAGAACAATAAGAGGTCTTTCCACCTTCTTTGAATTTCAATTTTGTTTTAAAATTAAATTCCATAAATAAGAAACCAAAATTGTCTTAAATGATAGCAAAAATTAAAAATTAAAAAAAAAATGAAATGACGTTGACCTTTGACCTTGAAAAATATTCAAGGTCAAAGGTCAAGAGTCACAATGCAGTTGACCCCATGCTTCTACGACTTATAGTTTTCAAGTTATAAGGTTAAATAGGAAGTACAAAGAAGTTAAAGGGCAATAACTCATATAAGGGGTTCTCAGATCCTTTTGCACTTATATAGTGAAGTTTTGCCTTAAGGTCCTTAAGACATTAGTGAAGGTTTGGTGTCTATACGGTTTCCGGTTTCGGAGGAGTAGCGATAACAAGGTTTTTTGCACAAGGCCAGGGGCAATAACTTTTTAAAGGGTTAATTTTTGGGGACAAGAATAAAATATTTGAAAGAGTTTTTAGAGTACATATTTATGATGCAAAGACATTAAGTATATATTGAAAGACAAAAGGGATATAGAAAAAGCTTAATTTCTCATTTTCTGAATGACCTTGACCTTTGACCTTTGCATGAAATTTTAGATCAAAAGTCAATGAATCTTATGCAGTTGGTCCCATGTCTCTACAACTTCTCGTTTGAAAAAAAAAATTATTTTTTGTAAAATTTAAAAAGTTTCAGGGGCAAATACTCATTAAAGGGGTCACCGAATGCTTTTGCAATGAATAGATTGAAGAGTCCCCTTAATTAGTTGAAGACATTGGTGAATGTTTCATACCTCTACGGTTTACGGTTTCAGAGGAGTAGCGATAACAAGCATTTCTTGCAAAAGGGGCAATAACTTCGATAGGGGTCAAGGTTCATTTACGCAGGGTGAACTGCAATAATCTTTTACGGAGTACATTCTTATGAACTATAAATCTTTTCGATGAATCTTCAAACAAAAAAACATGCGGCGGAAAAATAATTAAAAAAAAATAAAAAAGAACTAGGAGACTTATTGTTCACAGAACAATAAGAGGTCTTTCCACCTTTTGAATTTCAATTTCATTTAATATTTATCTATTTAAAATTAAATTTCATAAAAAAGAAACCAGGAATGGCTTAAAAGAAGAAAAAAATGAAAATGAAATTTTTTTTTTAGGTGACCTTGACCTTTGACCTTCAAGTCATATTCAAGGTCAAAGGTCAAGGGTCACATTGTAATTAACCCCATGTCTCTATGACATATAGTTTTAAAGTTATAAGGTTTAATAGTAAGCACAAAAGCATTTAAGGGCAGTAACTCATTCAAGAAATCACTAGATCCTTTTGCACTTGAACATAAAAGTTTTGCCTAAAGTCCCATAAGACATTAGAGAAGGTTTCATGTCTTTGCAGTTTATGGTTTTGAAGCAATAGCAATAAAAATGTTTTTCGCACAAGGGGTAACAACTTTTAATATGGTCAATCTAAAGGGACAAGAATGAAATCTTTGACACAGTTTTAAGAGTACATATTAATGATGCATAGACATTAAGCATATGTTGAAAGACAAAAGAGATATAAAAAGAGCTAAATTTCTCAGTTTTAGAATGACCTTGACCTTTGACCTTTACATGAATTTTAAGCTCAAAGCTCAATGAATCTTATGCAGTTGGTCTCATGTCTCTACACCTTCTCGTTTTGAAAATTTTTAATTATTTATAAAATTCAAAGACTTTCAGGGGCAATAACTCATTAAAGAAGTCATCGAAGACTTTCGCAATGAATAGATTCCAGAATCCTCTCAATTAGTCGAAGACTTTAGTGAAGGTTTCATATTTGTACGGTTTACGGTTTCGAAGTAGTAGCGATAACAAGGTTTTCCGCACAAAGAGCGATAACTTTGAATAGCGTCAATCTTACGGAATATGAATTAAATCTTTAAAATAGTTTTAAGAGTACATATTAATGATGCTAAGACAGTTTGTATAAGTTAAGAGACAAAAAAGATCTAAAAAGAGCTTAATTTCTCATTTTGGAATGACCTTGACCTTTGACCTTTACGCATGAATTTTAAGCTCAAAGCTCAATGAATCTTATGCAGTTGGTCTCATGTCTCTATTACTTCTCATTTTGAAAATTTTTAATTATTTATAAAATTCAAAGACTTTCAGGGGCAATAACTCAATGAAGAAGTCACGGAAGACTTTCGCAATGAATAGACTCCAGAATCCTCTCAATTAGTCAAAGACTTTAGTGAAGGTTTCATATTTGTATGGTTAACGGTTTCGAAGTAATAGCGATAACAATGTTTTCCGGACAAAGGGCGATAACTTTTAATAGGGTCAATCTTACGGAATATGAATTGAATCTTTAAAATAGTTTTAAGAGTACATATTAATGATGCTAAGACAGTTTGTATAAGTTAAGAGACAAAAAAGATATAAAAAGAGCTTAATTTCTCAATTTTGGAATGACCTTGACCTTTGACCTTTACATGAATTTTAAGCTCAAAGCTCAGTGAATCTTATGCAGTTGGTCTCATGTCTCTATCACTTCTCGTTTTGAAAATTTTTAATTATTTCTAAAATTAAAAATGTTTCAGGGGCAATAACGCATTGAAGGGGTCACCGAATACTTTCGCAATGAATAGATTCCAGAGTCCTCTTAATTAGTCGAAGACTTTAGTGAAGGTTTCATATGTCTACGGTTTACGGTTTTGAAGGAGTAGCGATAACCAGCATATCTTGCGAAAGGGGCAATAACTTCGAAAGAGTTCATAGTTCAAATACGCAGGGTTTTTTGCAAATATCTCTTACAAAGTACAATCTTATAAACTATAAATCTTTTCAAAAGACCTTGAAACAAAAATTCGTCCGGCGGAAAAATAATAAAAATAATAATAAACAGAAGAATATCAATAGGTCTTTCCACAGAAAGGTGGAAAGACCTAACTAGGAGACTTATTGTTCACAGAACAATAAGAGGTCTTTCCACCTTCTTTGAATTTTAAGTTTGTTTTATATCTGACTCCTAAAAATTAAATTCCATGATAAAGAAACCAGAACTATTTTAAAGTATAGAAAAAAAAATGAAAATTAAAAAAAAGAATGACCTTGACCTTTGAACTTGAAAAAATATTCAAGGTCAAAGGTCAAGGGTCACAATGCAGTTGCCCCCATGCTTCTATGACTTATAGTTTTCAAGTTATAAGGTTTAATAGTAAGTACAAAGAACTTAAAGGGCAATAACTCATATAAGGGGTCATCAGATCCTTTCGCATTTATACAGTGAAGTTAGGCCTAAAGACCCTTAACACATTAGTGAAGGTTTGGTGTCTCTACAGTCTACGATTTCGGAGGAGTAGTGATAACAAGGTTTTTCGCACAAGGGGCAATAACTTTTAAAAGGAGTAATATTAGGGGACAAGACTGAAATCTTTGAAACAGTTTTAAGAGTACATATTAATGATGCATAGACATTAAGTATATGTTAAAAGACAAAGGAGATATAAAAAGAGCTTAATTTCTCAATTTTGGAATGACCTTGACCTTTGACCTTTACATGAATTTCAAGGTCAAAGGTCAATGAATCTTATGCAGTTGGTCCCATGTCTCTACGACTTTTCTTTTTGAAAATTTTTAATTATTCCTAAAATTCATAAAGTTTCAGGGGCAATAACTCATTGAAGGGTCAAGGAATACTTTCGCAATGAATCATTGAAGTGTCTACTATATTAGTAGAAGACAATAGTGAAGGTTTCATTTCTCTACAGTTTACTGTTTCGGAGGAGTAGCGATAACAAGCTTTTTTGCAAAAGGGGTAGTAACTCCGAAAGAGGTCGAAGTTTGTATACGCAGGGTCAACTGCGAAAATCTTTTACAAAGTGTATTCTAATGAAATAAAAATCTTTTCGATAAATCTTGAAACAAAAAATCACACGGCGGAAAAATAATAAAGAAAAAGGAAAAAAAGAAACAGAAGAATATCAATAGGTCTTTCCACAGAAAGGTGGAAAGACCTAATAATAAACAGAAGAATTTCAACAGGTCTTTCCACAGAAAGGTGGAAAGACCTAATTACAAGTGATAAATACACATAACCAACCTGAATAACTACGTCAAGTATGTCAATTTCGATATATCTAATTATACATGTAGCCTATAGTGTACTATATTAGATTGTACGAATGCCTGATTTTTTCAACTTCCTACTGAATATTGTCAAATTATATAACTACATTTAATAATAGGGAAGCAATATGCTTCTCCATTTAACAAAAAATGGAGTTTCATCGCATGTGTATGTTTATTTGTGTTCTTTTTCAAAATTCTTTTGCAGGTTGTCCAAGGTAAGTAATAAATTGGTTATATTTCTCTCTAAATGTTTTCATTTGCAGTAATATTAGAGATTGTTTCTTTTTAGAACAAATGGTAAATTATGCTGTTTTGGACATTATTGGGATGAAAGTGTCAAATCCTGCAAAGGTATTGTTTTGTTTTTTATCAGGTGTCTACAGGTTTAAAACTTATCCTTGATTGTTAGAGATATAATTTTTAATAAATGAAATCTATAATTTTAGTTTGCAAAATTGGATACTTTGGCCAAAATTGTTCAATGAAATGTCCATATCCGAATTACGGCGCAGAATGTCAGCTGGAGTGCACATGCAATGCAAGACGGTGTAATCCTTTCATAGGATGTGTATCAGGAGGTATATACATCTACATGTGTTTACGAGTTTTGTTATACTTTTTAATATCTGATAATCTCCTTCAAAATTTGCAATAGGTTAAATGCTGTTTATAGTTATTTTAACCTCAAAGTTATTTTTACCTCAAAGCCCCATGGGGATCCGGGTTAGAATAAGTCCCCAGTACCCCCTTGCTTGTCGTAAAAGGCGACTAAATGGGGCGGTCCTTCGGATGAGACCGTATAAATCGAGGCCCCGTGTCAAAGCAGATGTGGCACGATAAAGATCCCTACTTGCTCAAAGGCCGTAAGTGCCGAGCATAGGTCTAAATTTGCAGCCCTTCACCGGCAATGGTTACGTATCCATATCAATGAAATATTCTAGAGAGGGACCTTAAACAGTATACAATCAATCAATCTTTTACCCAAAAGGCTGCTTAACTAAAAGATTCCCACTGTTATATTTCACATTGTTTATTTTTTTTTATTTCTCCACAATACATTTAACATTCTACGTGTAAACATTCTGTAGCAGAAACAAACGACGGTGAAGTACTAGTATTGAACGCATTTAGAATCCAGATATCATTTTGATGAGGCCTTTTAACATTATTTACATTCGGAGGAAAATTTCAACAATTGAGAGACATCTGAGATACATTTTAGCAAGTCTACAAAAAGTGCATGGGTCTTGACTTATCTTATCCTCTTAAATTCTTCATTAAACAATAGCTGCAATCTTTAATTGAAGATTAACCAGCAAGTAGAAAGGAAATTTTATTGTTCACGTTCATGTCCATTAGAAAAATTATATCGAGTTTACTAGATTTAATTTGGCAAAATATGGAATTTTAGATTGAAATTCATGGTATGCTTTATCACAGAAAGAGAGCATTAAAAATAAAAATAAATTCAGTTCATTTGATTGAAGAGAGAGGGAGGTTTACATAAAAAATAAATCTTAAAATATTCAGTGATTGAAATTATACCTGCTGAAATTGCACTTCTAACGCAAAGTATGTAATCTACGCATGTTTTTTTTTAAATATTGTTATATTTCCAAAAATAATAATATCTTGGGTTTTTTCTCATGGCATTTCATAATACGGAAAACCAATCTTATGAAATGCGATTGAACTATTATTTACTATACGATACATAGTTCAATCTGTTGTTTCCGTAAAGGACATAGAATGTTACCAACAATTAAGCAGTGTGAACATGCTTAATTCTACGTATTTTTAACATACAAATCCATGTACAAGTTAGGTTGATCATAAATACAAGGCAAAATGTAGTTACATGGGATAATCAGAATCATATTAATAATTAAACCTTCTTTAATTTCCACAACATATTTTGTTCTTTGAGTATCCAAAGTAAATACACCTTTTTTGATTTGTGAAAAATTTTTCCCCATAATTCCGTTGTACATTGTATTTTTTGTTCATTAGTCCCCTACCGGTGATATTGATGTGATATTTTGGGCTCTGTAAATGTTTCTGGAAGAGTTATAGATCAGTGCTGAGTGTGGTCCTTTTAGTTTTTAAGGGTTTTATGCATTTTCCTTAAATGCTTTCAAATATAGAGGTGATTTTTGGTACGTAAATGCATCTTAATGCGTTACAGATAAATATAAAAATTTCGTTCCGCTTCAATGCTTTTTGAGGAAAATCGGCCTTTTCATTTGTAATAGAAACAATATAACACTTACCGGGAGGGGAGTAGCAAAATAAATAAATGCAATACAAATGTACTCCCAGAATGCAGTTCTTTGTTCATTCTTTAATTTTTAGTTTTAATTTGTGATCATATGACTGGTCAATACCAATTTTACCTATTCCAATATCCATTTAGATATTTCACTTTTTAAAAGTATACCCACTTTTGCCTCAGTCCGGGTTAGAAATCTCTACCTTTGGAATCTATCTCATAGCAGTACATAGCGCACTAGACTCCCTCGGCTATTTAAACATATGACAAATAAGCTTTTGTTACCGATGGCAATCTCACGGTCGATATATACTCCTGTGAAGTCAATATATCTATGAATTGACCAAATAAAAGGGCAACATTTGTATAAAAATTATTTTTATACAGGATTAACATGATTAAGAACACAATTTTGATAATAATATGATCGAGCCACAAGTCATCTTTTTATACACATACTTAATTTTTTTTAGATAAAAATCAGCTGTTTATCCTATCTGTTTTTCCAGTTTACGAATAATGTAATGCTATATTTTCAAGACTATATTGTGTTATTTTAATTAATGAAAAGAAGTTTTAATATATTTCACAAGTAGATACTAATTCAAAACATTGTTACATCTAACCTCATTATTGCAGAACACAACATTGTAACATTGTAATTGTCAAGAAAAAAGATTTGATTTATTTTCTTGGAAACATCAAGCTTTATCAGTTTTAAGTTTTGTTAAGTCAGCACTTTCGTTATTTGTTTAGGACCATTCCATTTTTAGAAACTTCAATTCAGTATGCCTTTCAAAATTTGTGATCACGTTTGAGGCAACCAGAGAGCTTAGAATGATGCAGAAAAGTAATATAGGCTATATATATACATACATGTATATATGACCGATTTTATTGGATTTTACCACAGGGGCATCTTATCCACTCTGTTCTCTACTTCACATATAAAAATACACAAGGGAAGAATCGAAAGTAGCACACGATTTTAAAAATAAGTCAAAAAACAACTTACTTGAGAAAAGTTACACAAATTCTGACATGAACTAGCGTAAATGATGTCTTGGTACTTATCCAGGTTTAAATATTCCAAATATATCCATCGAAAATAGCTTTTATCCAACGAAAATCCCAGCTTCAGATTGCACTCGGAAGGCCTCGGGTACTATACCCTATCGTCATCCGAGTGAGTTATCTTTTCTTGGGCGAAGAGTTTCACACTGTGCAGAAAGCTGGGATTTTCGTTGGATAAAAGCTATTTTCGATGGATATATTTGCAATATTTTAGCCTGGATAAGTACTAGGACATCATTTACGCTAGTTCATGTCAGAATTTGTGTAACTTTTCTCAAGTAAGTTGTTTTTTGACTTATTTTTGAAATCGTGTGCTACTTTCGATTCTTCCCTTGTGTATTTTTATATGTGGAGTAGAGAACAGAGTGGATAAGATGCCCCTGTAATTTCACTAAACAAAATATTTCTTTCCTTTCAACTAAGATTTTTAGGTCATTTAATGAAGAATATAATTTTTTAATATAATTGTGTGTTCTTGCGTTTTTGAAATATTTTTTCCTCTCTGGCATCGGCCAAATTACACTAATGACCATTTTATTTTGAAAATATCAATCTTGTTATCAAAAGATGGATTGCAAATAAATTATTCTTGATAATCTTCAGCCTCAGGTATGAATAGTCAACACTCTGAATCATGATTTATTATTTTTTTTTTACATTTTAGAAGAAACAACTTTTTATACATACCAAACTTTTAGAAATCACACTGTCATAACCACCAACAAAGACAACAAACATTTTACTGACGCTGCTGTAGACGAGAACAACACATGGGTATCACCAATAACCACACATTCAACGGAAGATAAGCCAGATGTGAGTCGCTTGAATTTGACAAATATTACCTTGCTTGGAATATTTGGAGCGCTTGGCACTATTTGTGTTTTCCTTGGGATATTTTTGTCCCTATATATCAAAGAAAAATTTAAAAGAAACAAAGTCAAATTGAAAGGAAAGAACTACGAACAAGATATACAAAGAAATACATCATATGCCTCCCTGAATAGTGTAGAGCTCGAGGTCCCTCAATCTACACAGATTATGTTTAGAAAAGACAATGAAGATGTTACTTCAGTGTCAGAAAACACAAGAAAAGGAGCTCATTATCACCCTGCTGCTGGTTATATTGAACCAATAGATGTGTCAAATCACTCTTATTTAGAAGTTTTAGAAGTACTAAATGAAGATGAAATCATCGAAAACAATGAGCCCGAAATGTATCTGACAGCAATTTAAGTCCCGTTTTTACTTTTTTATCTTTCGTTTTCTTTTTTCAGAGACATATATTTCTTTTTTTTTGTTTTCAATAGCAAAATATTTTAATGTATTTATTGAATAAAAGTGATTTAAAGTCATTTTTTGAAAGGATGCCCTGACCCTGGGGCGACATGTTTTATAATTTTGAAGAGACATCCTTGCTCACTATAAATGTTTGAAGAAATCCAAGTAGTAGGTTTAAAAGCATTTATTTATTTTCAGTATAAAATCATCTGAGCCCCTGCTCCTTACCCTCTATGATACCCATAACCAAGAGCTATGAAATTCACAATTTTGGAGGAAGGACCCTTGTTCATCATAACTATGTATGAAGTTATTATGTTTAATACCCAGGAAGAGAGAAGAATTAAATAAATGTATTTTCACTAGGTAATCAATAAAGCACAGCTGCTGCAACGCACTTTGAAAATATTATGCACTTTGAAAAAAATTTTCAAAGTGCGTTAAAATTAGGACAAAATCAACGCACTTTGAAAATTTTTTCAGTGCTTTAAATTTGGGATACACTCAAGGCATTTTGAAAAAAATTTCAAAGTGCGCTAGAGTAAACATCAACAATATTACCATGTGGACATTTAACGCACTTTGAAAAAAATATGTACAGCTGTATAAACAAAAATTCTAGACTTAGATATTGGTAATTGAGAGAATCAATTTTTAATAATTATATCTTTCGAGAAAACGTTCTAATTTACATGTATTGATTAACTCTCATCGAGAACAAGGAGGTCAATATATAGAATGTCTCTCAGACCAACTCTTTTTTTTACTAAGGTATCAAATTGAAAGTGAAACCCCCGTCTCCACCTCCTCCTCTAGTCAAGGTCACCTACACGTATGTCGCATCGATGGTCTCATACAGTGGGGGAGGGGGTCAAACTACTTGCGTGGCCCAGGCTAACTCCCCCAAGGTGAGCTCCTATTTTTAATTCCTATATTCTGTATATCTTTGCAAAACATTTATGTGACTAACCCAACCCCCCCCCCCCTCCCCCGGTATCGATGCCTATGCTACACACAAATATATGTATTTGCATAACTGTTGTGACGTTGAAAACTTTCAATAAATTTCATAGTTTACATTAAATGCATGCAAACTGGAAAAAATACAGTAAACATTTAAGACAGAAATAATTTTCAAAGTGTGGAAAAATCAAAATCGCTTACTTTCACATCCTGAAGTGACCTTATCACCGAAAAGTTACTAGTATCCCACAGATTCAATTATTTGCCATACCTAAGATTTTCAAGAATACTGACCAAGCTACATGTTTACACATTTTTTAAAGTGCGTTAATATGGTCGATTTCAACGCAGTTTGAAAAGAAATTTTATTTTTTCAAAGTGCGTTGATTTGGTCACAAATTAAACGCACTTTGAAAAAAATTTCAAAGTGCGTAATTTTTCAAAGTGCGTTGTAACACACCGCCTTATGACCAGAACTCTTGACCCCGGGACCAGGAAATTTACAATTTTGGAAGACAAATCGTTGATTATCATATTTGTGTATTTAGTTAATTTGTTTAATACCCTGGATTAGAGGAGAAGACTTTCGAAGAATTAATGCATATTCACCTTATGATCAATAGACCCCGCCCTTAGGATTAAATGCAAAGGCATCCATGGTCGGGGCTTCGAACAAATATTTTCAAAAGTTGAGGGTTTCAGGTCGCTTAATTTCCCATATATAAATCTGGGACAAAACCCTTAATTTTGGGAGCCAAGTGTGCAGAACTCCGAGATCTTTTGAATTTCAGATTGTCAGGAAACTTAAAGTTAACAAGAGGCCCATGGGCCACATCGCTCACCTGAGCATTGTGGCTAGGAAAAAGGAAAAATTGTTTTATTAATGAAAAATGTAAATCCAAAAGTAGTCCCATGACCAATCATGGCTTTGCTATTCTTGGAAGATGATTTTTAAAGAATTTTCCTATATATTTCTATGAAAAACTTTGGTCTGCCATTGTGTCCCCACCCTACCCCAAGAGTCATGATTTGAACAAACTTAAATTTACACTACCTGAGGATGCTTCCGTATAAAAATGATCAATTGTGGCTTTGTTATTCTTGAGGAGAAGATTTTTAAAGAATTTTCCTATATATCTATGTAAAACTTTGTTGGGCCATTGTGACCCCGCCCTACTCACGGGGGTCATGATTTGCACAAACTTGAATCTACACTACCTGAGGATGCTTCCATATAAAAATGATCAATTATGGCTTTGTTATTCTTAAGAAGATGTTTAAAGAATTTTCCTATATATATATCTATGTAAAACTTTGGTCGGCCATTTTGGCCCCGCCCTACCCATGGGGGTCATGATTTGAACTGATTTGAATTTAAACTACCTGAGGGTGCTTCCATATAAATATGATCAATTGTGGCTTTGTTATTCTTGAGAAGAAGATGTTTAAAGAATTTTCCTATAATATCTATGTAAAACTTTGGTCCACCATTGTGACCCCGCCCTACCCATGGGGGTCATGATTTGAACTGATTTGAATTTACACTACCTGAGGGTGCTTCCATATAAATATGATCAATTATGGCTTTGTTATTCTTGAGAAGAAGATTTTTAAAAAACTTTCCTATGTATTTCTATGTAAAACTTTGGTCCACCATTGTAGCCCCGCCCCACCCCGGGGGTCATGATTTGAACAAACTTGAATCTGCACTACCTGAGGATGCATCAATATAAATATGATCAATTATGGCTTTGTTATTCTTGAGAAGAAGATTTTTTAAAGAATTTTCCTATATATTTCTATGTAAAAATTTGATCGGCCATTGTGCCACCGTCCTTCCCCCGGGAGTCATGTTTTGAACTAACTTGAATCCACACTACCTGAGGATGTTTCCCAATAAGTTTCATCTTTCCTAGTACAGTGGTTCTTGAGAAGAAGATTTTTTAAAAATACCACCAAATTTTCATAAATTCCCAATTACCTCCCCTTGAGCGAAGGCGTGTTCCTTCATTTGAACAAAAGTGAATCCCCTTCACCCTAGGATGCTTTGTGGCAAGTTTGGTTGAAATTGGCCGAGTAGTTCTCTAGAAGGCGTCGAAAATGTGAAAAGTTTACGGACAGACAGACGGACGGATGCCGGACAAAATGTGATCAGAAAAGCTCACTTGAGCCTTTGGCTCAGGTGAGTTAAAAATTGCATGTAGAAAAAGGGATTTTGTTATGCAATTCATCATATTTTGTATTTCGAAATGCATTTGTTTTGACAATGCTGTCATTCCCCAACATGTAATTTTATGCAATAGGTTTTCACATAATTTCATACTAATAAATAAATGAATAATTCAAGAAGTTTTGCTTCCTTCCATTGCTTCTATCAGACTTTTACACTAAAGAGTGTAAATGAATATATTTTACATAAAAGTACGAAATTGGGTATTTATACATACATGTATGATTGAAATCAAAAGGTCGAAATTGCTTTCAAGAAACTTCTTCAAATAAAGAAAACTCAGCTTTATGAAGTATATAAACATTGCTTGATAATCATTTTTTAAAATTGTTTTTCTAAAGCTAAATTGCATGAAAAAATGTAACTTTATGATTTTTTTTTATGCTACACACTTGATCAAAATTTAGTCAATAATCTCTGACACAATTATTTTTTCGAGGAAAATTTTTGCTTGTAATTTGTTTGTGATGCATTGTTACTTTTTTAAAGTGCGTTGCCACAAAAATGTTACAACGCACTTTGAAAAGTTACGCACTTTGAAAAAAATTTCAAAGTGCGTTAAATTTGAAACCAATTCAACGCACTTTAAAAAAAATAAAATTTCTTTTCAAAGTGCGTTGATATCGACCATATTAACGCACTTTGAAAAAATGTGTATGGCTTCGTCAAAATTCTTGAAAATCTTTGGTATGGTCAATAATTGAACCTTTTGAATAACTTTTCGGTGATAAGGTCACTTCATGATGTGAATGTGAGCGATTTTTATTTTCCCATACTTTTAAAATTCTTTCTATCTTAAATGTTTTACTGTACTTAATTTTTTCCAGTTCGCATGCATTTAACGTAAACTAAAATTTACTTTGTTTTGAAAGTTTTCAACGACACACCAGTTATGCAAAAACATATTTTTGGGTTAAGCATAGACATCAGTAGCGGGGGGGGGGGGGGTAGTCACACAAATGTTCTGGTATATAAAAAAGGAATTAAATTAGGGGCTCACAATGAGGGGTGGGGGTGGGGCTAGGTCACACAAGTCGTTGACCCCCCACTTTGTGAGACCATCGATGCGACATACGTGTAGGTGATCTAGACTAGGGGGGGGTTCCACTTTCAATTTGATACCTCAGCAAAAAAGAGTTGGTATGAGAGACATTCTATATACTCATCTTCTCCTTGTTCTCTTGTCCCGTGGGGATCCGGGTTAGAATAGGTCCTCGGTACCCCCTTGCTTGTCGGAAAAGGCGACTAAATGGGGCGGTCCTTCGGATGAGACCGTATAAACCGAGGCCCCGTGTCACAGCAGGTGTGGCACGATAAAAATCCCTCCCTGCTCAAAGGCCGTAAGTGCCGAGCATAGGCCTAAATTTGCAGCCCTTCACCGGCAATGGTGACGTCGCCATATCAGTGAAATATTCTGGAGAGGGACCTTAAACAGTATACAATCAATCAATCAATCTCCTTGTTCTCAATGAGGAAAATTAAAACTTTTTTTCGAAAGATATAATAATCAAAAATTGATTCTCTCAATTTCTAACATCTAAGTCTAGAATTTTTGTTTTATACATATTTTTTTCAAAGTGAATTAATTGTCCACATGGTAATTTTTTTTTTTCATAGTGCGTAATTTTTTCAAAGTGCGTTGCCACAAACATCTTAATAGAGATTGTTCTATCTGACGTATCCGTATAAGTATACGTATCCGTATCCGTATCGAGATATGAAAGGCATCTCGATCCCGATGTCTAAACCATTTAATACAATT